GGGTCGATGCGATGATAAAGCCACTGGAAGATGTAGTTGAAGTCTTTCTGAGTCGGTGACCGTAACGTGTTCTGGCCTAGTGAGTGCTTCATCTCAAGTTCAAAGTTGTTATGTGTCAGATACTCCAACAGCTCTTGGCCGATCCGCGCCTGGAAAGACCTGTCTCTGAGAGGTCTCGGGTCTCTTGGGACACCAGCTACTGTGGGAACCTGGGTGAAGAACGACTGATGCGCCATGGCGCCCCCCATGGACGGGCGTGAGAATACACTACTCCTTCGCTGTAACGCCTGTGCGGCCGCTGTATTGGATGTAATAGCTCCGGGAGCGAGGCTGGGGCGTCCCACGCTGGGTCCATGGAAGATATTGCTCGACACCGAGCGCCGGACTGACGAGAGACCGGCGTCTGCACCAAGACCCCCACCCGATGAAGATCGCTGGAAATTCGGCTGTTGCGGGCGACTGGCAGAGTTCATAATCGACATGGAGCGGGTGTGCTGTGAAGTGAAGGGAGGGTTTTGGTATCCAATGGAGCTGGTACGTTTGAGGGCGGATGAGGGTTGGGGAAGAGCGGAGTAGTTCTGAACGCTTCCAAGCGCCATCGACTAGATGTGGTAGTCAGCATCACTTTGAAACTGGGTTTTCTTGCATCCATGTAGGCACATGGAAGGTGCGACAAGTTGGGGCGCATACCTCGCGAGGGCGCCTGATGCTGAACAGTCCGGTATCTTGCGACATGATGAGCAGGCAGCCGCGACTGCAGCAGTTGATTTGATACAATCACAAAATCGGTCCAAAGTACCAACCGGGGTATTCCAAGAGGAGTGAGACCCAGGACCTGGATTGATTGTGCAGCACGAAGCTGGAACACCAACTTCTACCGTCGGAAATGGAGGGAGATTTTGGACGAACAGCAGCAACCGAGCGGGCGGATGATGGATGTAAACAAGACATGCCACTTTGCTTGAAAATAGCAGGCGGTGAGCGGCCTGGGAACAACAGGAGAGCTGAAAGGTTGAACTAACCGGATCCGGACTGAGCCACTCTTTGGACCTACTCATACTAGGTGATAATCCATGATCACGGGCTCCGGCCCTCTGGGGATACGCCGAATCCGCCGCGGTACCGGCTGTGATTAGTTGCTTTATTACGGAGTACAGTACCTCCTAGTACCGTCCTAGCCTCCCCTCCCCAACTTCCGAGGTCCAATTCCCTTTCCTCCACCACCTCCTCCTCCTCCTACTAATTTTCCACTTCGCTTTCCGTCTCATTGTCTCTTTCAATTCTCACTCACTGCACACCTTGTCGCTCGATAGACTCTCGTTTTGTCACAACCGAAACAGAGTCCCTGGTGGACCCGTCATCATGATTCGCGAGGAGCTTATCTCGTCTGCTGTAGGTTTATTGCCTCAATCCTCATCTGTCATTTGCGGTTGCCGGAATCGGAGTTGACTCTCATCCTCAACATCATAGATCACCTGTAGGTACTCATCGACGCACTGCAATGCGATTTATGTTGCTGCGGACTCTAATTCGAAGATAGTTCTCCAAGATCCGTCTGTCGCCTCTTCGCCGATCGAAAAGCGAGTCGCATTCCTGCAGTCAAAGAACCTAACGAAAGAAGAGATCGATGTCGCTCTTTCGCGAGTAGGTGAAAATCCGGCCGCGGCGGCCGCGGCGGCCGCGGCGACATCATCTCCGAATAATCAGCCTTCTTCTCAACAAGCAGTCTATCGACCACCTCCACCTCAACCACCCGCTCCGGGATATGGCTACCCACCGTATGGTCAATGGCAACCCCCGCCAGAGTAAGTGGCTCTCCGCCACGGAGGATAGTTTCGGGAATACTAATTTCGTCGTCGCGGCAGACCTCCAAAGCGGGACTGGCGGGATTGGTTTATTATGGCTACTGTTGTGGGTGGTGTCGGATATGGGCTGTACACTATCACGAAGGTCAGTTTTTCCGTATTTGACTTATAGCCGTGCTGCGGAAGGAGCTGACATTTATCAAGCGATATATCACACCCTTGATCGCACCCCCTACCCCACCACAGCTAGAACAAGATAAGCAGGATATTGATGAGCAGTTCTCCCGTGCATTTACGCTTATCGATCAACTCTCCACCGACACAGCCGCCCTGAAGTCTGCAGAAGAAGAGCGATCCGAGCGACTCGACGCTGCTCTCAGAGAGGTCGAGACTCTTGTCTCCGATATGAAGAACGCATCCCGTCGGAGAGACGACGAGACCCGCCGCATTAGCGACGAAGTTAAATCGTTGAAAGACGCCATCCCTAAGGCTATGGAGAGTGCTCGGGAAGGCAACGAGAATCGTTTGAAGGAGCTGAGCACCGAATTGAAGAGCTTGAAAGTTCTTCTGGGAAATCGACTTGGTGGCGGTGGTAGCGGCGCTAGCTCGTCCATCGCTGGACGGGCTGTGGGCAGCATCCCTCTTCTGACTGCTTCACGGCCAGCCGAGGAGTCGGCCTCTGCCTCTAACGCAACAAATGGATCGACTGCGGGATCGATTGAACAGCCATCGCAATCCGCTCAGCCGAGCCCGAGTGCCAGTACTGCATCCTTGGGCAACAACCCTCTTTCGCAATTCGGTCGGTCTGCCTCTATTCCCGCTTGGCAGATGGCGGCTGCCAACCGATCCAAAACAGCCTCGCCGGCGCCATCGAATGCCGCCGACAACTCCGCCGCCACTACCACGGCCAGTGAGCCGCAAAGCGCCCCAGCTAGCTAGACAGTACCCTACACATTCTCATGCGAAGCTTTTTGTCATTTCATTTACTCCGAGTCCCCCGGGTAGGGCTGTCACTGATACCATGAAGATGAATATGATGCAGCGGTTGTACGTTTGGGAGTAACAGTCTCGCACTTTATAGTAGACGCTGCATAAGAAGAATTTAGCACAAGAGACTCCAGGTCATGCCAAAATTGATTAGGGCAGAGCAAATAATGAATCGGCCGATACCGTACTCTCTAATTATCTTATCAGTGTAAATCGTGTCTAGTACGAATGAGTATGTTGTGTACCTCCACACTCTCCACCAACGCCGCCGCCTCGGCCGCCGAAGCTTGGCACCTTCAACTCTGCCATCCAACCCCCCCCCCCCCAACTTCCATCTGGATCAGCTTCTCTCACCCGCCCTTCACGGACAACATAAGCAGCCCAACACAATGTCTCCTCGAGATCACCATCGCGGTCGCACTCATCCAGCCTCCCGACCTCGCTCCCGCACCCGATCGCGCACTCGCTCCCCGGACACAACAGACCGAACAGACCGACACCGAAGCAGACGCCATCACCATCATCGCCATCGTCACGATGACCAACACGACGACCACCACCGTCGCCATACAGACACCCACCGCGACCGACACAACCAAGACGAAGACCGAGACCGAGACCGTCACCGCCGGCACCGTCACCACCATCATTCCTCTTCCCACCGCACCACAGACACAGCGCAAGCAACCCGAGCGCCCCGAGTCCTCCCTTATAGATCGCGCGAACTCACCAAACACGACCTAACCACCTTCACCCCGCTCTTCGCCATGTACCTCGACATCCAGAAAGGTCTTTATCTCGAGGACCTCCCGGAAGACGAAGTCAAGGGTCGCTGGAAGAGTTTCATTCGCAAATGGTACCTAGCGCTCCTCTCGTCCCGTCCCGTCCATGCCTGCTGTTCTATACTTTAGCTTGGCAAAAGCACACTCCGCTTCCCCCTTTGCCCAGAAATCACATGGGAGCAATAAACCTCTAAGACTAACATATCAGGAACCACGGCGAACTAGCAGAGGGATGGTACGATCCCGCAATGCTGGAGCGGGCCCGGTCAAATCTCGACGACGCTCCTCGTCCCCCTCCTGCAGGCAAAGGACCGCAATCCTCCACCCCCACCGCCCACAACCAACAAACTGAGCGTCATCATTCCGAACGAAATCGCCAGAACACCGACGACTCCGACGACAACAACGAAGACAATGAAGAAGACGATTACGGCCCCACCCTCCCCCAACCCGACAAATCACTGTCCGGGCCCACGATCCCCACGATACAGGACCTGGAACTGAGGAAAGGTACGCCACGCAAAAACAATCCCAGACGCACAGCATGGCAGTCAGTTTCTCGCACTGCGAGATCCATAGTCTCTGTCCGGAGGGAAGCTCGTTACGGCGAGACGTTGAAATCCACAAGCGAACTAACAGCCAAAAAAAAAAAAACAGAACAAGCCCGCGAAGACGCCCTCGCCGCGCGCCAGGACTCGCAATCCCACTATCGAAGCGAGGTGCGCTCGCACCGCGCGGAGCTGCGGCATATGCAGGAGGAGGTGGCGCCGCGGGCGGAGCCGGGGACGCACGAGCGGCGCATGGAGAAGCGGCAGGAGGCGGCGCAGGCGAACCGGGCGTTCGCGGAGGCGCGCCGCGGCGGGTCGCCGGGGGCCGCGGCGGTGCCCGATGAGGACCTGATAGGGTCTGGGGAGAACGAGCTGGAGGCGATCAAAAAGTCGCGGGAGCGCGAGCAGCGCAAGAAGAATGAGCGGGAGCTGCGGCGCGAGGAGATCATGCGCGCCCGCGCGGCCGAGAGGGAGGAGCGGCTGCAGAAGTATCGCGCGAAAGAGGAGGAGACGATCGGGTGGTTGAAGACGTTGGCGAAGCAGCGGTTTGGGTGATGATTCCTTTCTCCCCCCGCATACGCGCCTTGGATGGGATCCAAAGGAACTGTGAATGAAGGTTTCTCACGGTTCGATTCGGAGACCCACATACAGATTCGCTAGAAATGACAAGAACACTATACTGATACATCCGATTGTGCTATCTAGAGTATATGTATGTATGTACTGGCCCCAGAACAGCAAAACTCCTTTCCACGTCTAAATATCCCCCTCCAAACTTTTGTTTCAAAACCCTCGTCCATATATCCAACAACCCTCACACGAACGCCTCTTGCAATGTACACACAGACACACCCCTGGCTTCCTCTTTATCCTCTATCCTAATCTTTCCGCCCCAACTCCAAATCAGCAACCAGCCTCATCGAGTCCGTCCCATTGACCGCCGCCGTCGCCTCCTCCCCCAGCGCAAAGAACGGCTTGACAGCCACATCGACCGTCTCCTCGAACAGACGCCCCACGACCAGATCCTTCAGCTCCTCGCCGGTCTGGGCGAAATCCGGGTAGGCGTTCAGCTCCAACAGCCAGGCGTTGCCGGTGTGATCGACGAGGAAGTCGACGCCGAACAGCTCGAAGGCATTGGGAAGGGTCTGGAAGTGCACCATCATGCCGCGGGCGGCGGCCTCGAAGACCTCGCCGGTGACGGCGCAGATCTGATCGAAGAGCGTTTCCTTCCAGTCCGGCGCGAGGCCCGGGACGGCCTCGTCCAGCTGCCAGTAGCGGCGGACGCTGCCTTCGTTGGCGCTGCCGCCGTCCTGGAAGCAGGTGTTGGTGAGGTGGCGGGCCAGGTCCGTGACCCCGTCGCCTTGTTTTTCTTCGTCGCCGGGCGCGCAGTAGGGCTTCGCGGCGAACAGGGCCAGCATCTCCCGGAAGACGTAGACCTTCAGCGAGCCAACGGCCAGGACGTAGGTGCGGATGTGGAACTTGCGGTTCGCGGCCGAGGGGAGCAGGAGCGGCGGGTCGATGTACGGCTGCGCGATGAAGTGGCGCAGTTGCGAGGTGACCACGCCGTGATCGTTGTCGTCGTCGTCGTCATCCTCGGGCTTGGTGGGACGCTCCGAGTCACTCCCCTCCTCCTCATCATCTTCCTCCTCGTCATCCGAATCAGGATCCCATTCTTCGAAGATCTCGCGGAGTCCGTCTTCGCTGTTGAACAGCCGGATGCCGTTGCCGCGGTCGCTCATCCCGGCTTTGAGGATCCACCATTCCTTCTCGGACTCCGGTAGGGTCTCGTTGCGTTCGAGGCTCTCGCGGAGCTCGTAGGCCTCTAGGAGGGCGTCGTCGAGGAATTCCGCGTAGTCGAGCTCGAAGTCGCAGGCGAACTTGAAGTGCTTGGCCAAAACGCTGTCCGGGTGCTTGGTCACCCAGTTCGTGACGGTGTTGGACAGGTAGTGTTTGCGGATCAGCGCCTTGCGGATGATGTAGGCGTTCGCGAGGGACGACGAGGAGTGCATCATGGCGTGCTCGAAATCCAGCCGTTCGTATTCGCGATACTGGAACACAGGAGCGGAGGGAGACGGGAGGTCGGCCAGGGAGGAGATGGTGCGACTTTGGCCGGCGCCGAGGCGACGCTGCAGGGCCTGCTCCATGAGACTCTGGACGTATGGATTGTCGCTGTCCACGATGGTATATAATGTAGGCTCATTATTATCCGGTCTACATGAACATGATCTATCAGAATCCCGGCCGTCCCACGGTATGAAAAGCACTGCAAGTAGAATTGAAAGGGAAGCGAAAGACAAGAACAAAAGAGGAAGACGCCGAAGGCATAGACTAGCTCTCTCGAATATCTGACAAGCGCGCGCAAGCTCTTCTCTATGATATGTGCAGGTAATGCAGTTCGGGTTGTATAGATTCGGCCGTTCGTCTGCCGCGCAATAAATATCACTCACAGCTTGATCTCCCCTTCGATACCGGGCGTGTGCATGAAATTAGCCTTCAACGGCGTCACACTGCGGTGAGGGGTTAGCAACAGTCGACAAGAGCACGGGACTCAACACCACAAACCTAGTCATTCCCTCCTTCACAACCCACCCGTCATTTCCAGGCGTACCCTCATCCACGCTTCTGTAGACATCCGTGAAATTGGGCGCCCACTCGAAGTGCTTGTGTTGGATGCGAGATCGCTTGATCGAAGGCTTGCTCCCTTCTGCAGCCAGAGCTTTCCCAGCACCCTCGCCTTCTTCCCGCAGCTTGTGCTCATGCGCACTCGGGCCGTCCATCGAGGCAGATGCCTCAACAGCCTTAAAGCAGCTGCCAGACGACCAGCGATTATCGAGCATCTGGGTGTAGAGAACCTTGGCCTCGCTCACACCAGGCTCCAGAGGTACATTGACACTGTATAGATCGACTCCCTCCGCCCAGTTCTTGTGAAGGTACTCGATCAACCGGACCGAATGCCGCGAAGCCTCCGCGATAACGATGGGATCATGCTGACGCGAGCTGAATGCGTATGACAGAGCGATGGCACGTTTCCCACAGACCGCGGCCTCCATGGCGCCACCAATCGTTCCGCTGGACATGGCAAAGAGCGCTGTCGAGTTCCGGCCATAGTTCGGCCCAGAAACGACCAGGTCGATCGGACCGCGGTCGTCAAAGTAGTGGTATAGGCCGATCTGCACACAGCTAGCCGGCGTCGAGTCGACAAGGATCCACTCATCGCCGTCGTATTCTTCGTCGTCGCCTTCGTTCATACCGTGGGGCAACTCGTGAGTTGTTCCATCGTCCTTGTGCAAAGTCCCAGGCCGGAAGTAGGTGGGCTTCACCGCTGCTCCGACCAGGTGTGCTTTACCAATCCATGATCGCTGCTGATGTGGTAATACTACTGAAACAGTATGTCCGGCCGATTGCAGCGAGACGACGAGCGAATGGATATACGGCGAAGACTGGTTCGACGGCGGTCCGTCGTCGTTGACAACCTATTGCAGAAAACCCCCGTGAGCCTGGATTGAGATGGATAAAGACTGATGGCGTGCTATAGACAGGATAGCTGATGTGCTTACTAGAATATGCATTGGAGCAAGACCAAAGGTGGCGCGACGTGAGTTGAGTAGAAGAAGGTGAAGAAGAGGGGCAGAGGGGCAGAGAGGCAGAGGAGATCACGGCAGATTTCCCCGCCTTTTCGTCGTTCCTTGCGAACTGGAACCAAGGCTGGATCCACCTGCCGCTCCGATTTGTCTCGTTATCGATAACTTGACTAATGAACAATTATGGTCATCATGAACTGATTCAATCCAGCTTTGCAGTACATCCCGTTCAAATTGATCAAGCCACATGTCTGCAGTGGGTATCGACTGATTATTACACAAGCGAATATGGTCATTGCTAGGAGTGTGCCCTGGTGAGATGACTCCGTCGTCGCTGAATCCCTCGTGCATGGGCACTTTCGAGTCCAGTTCCAGTCCCTGAAACATCCGATGACTCTGCGCCACGATCCTCGTCCATACCCCCAATCGAATCGCTCCCCTCATCGTCTAGATCTTCCTCTTTCTTGATCTGCGTACCCCTGATATGAGAAGCTTCGGAAGGAACATCGAATAGAGAGGATGGTTCATCAGTGTCTTCCGACTTGACAAGCACTTCACTGCCACTTTCTGTTTTGACGACGACATCTTTCCCCTCTTCCTTCGGGCGGTGGAAGGCGATGGCCAGCAGAGCCCACACCATCCCCGCAGTCACCATGGAAACGCTCCAGAACATGAAGCCAAAAATGACGAAGGACGTGAGCCTCCAATTGTACATTACCCACCTAAGCCATTGTTAGTCTGAGAATGAATAGGCTAGGCTGCTGCAAAGAAGCGAGCGAAGCATACCGTAGACCAGTGAATGTCGCCTTGAACGTCACCCTAGCCCTGTAAACTTGCATCTTCTCCGCACTATGAATCTCCAGGCGCAAACTGGACGGGACGTTACGTTGCCCACGGGGAAATTGAACCTTCTCTAGCATGCCGACCCGCAACTTCTCTGCTTCTCGATTCCATCCAAGCACGTAGAATGGCATCAACACCAGCTTGTTCGCTGTGTCGACCAGAGGGGAGGCGTAAGTGAGAATAGCAGAGCGGCGCGATTGGGAGAGCAGGGTAGTCGACGTATTCAACCCCGTCTCTGCAGATGTTGAGGGCGGAGAGTAGAGCGCCAGGTCAAGCATGAAATTACCAGCAGCGACATTTGAGGGGGTGCGTGGTAGCTCAAGCTCTACCTGCACATCATACATCTGCAGAGATACCAAATCCGAACCCAAGGACGCGACTCCCCAGGGATGGCCATCACTATGAGCAAGCAAGAAGACAGTCAGCCACGAATACTCCTTCTGGCAGCAAGGCACCCAAAAATTAACTTGAGCCTTGGGTCTTGGACGCACTCGAACTGCATGTGAACAATGCGCTCTAGCCCGACCTGCGGGATGAAGTTGTAATAGAAGATCGCATACGCAAATGCAGAGATGAACACCATGCATATAGCTGTCAGAACAAAAAGCAGAGTGCCCAGGTAGGCTTTTTGGGCCTGCTTAGACAAAAGTGGACGCATTGTCTCTGCCATCGAATTCTAGACAATTGTCGCGTTAGCTGATGCGCCCACGTCAGTAGTTAGATTAACGGGGACATTCTCACCATGGCCCTCGAGACAGCGCCTGTCCCATGCTCTGGCTCCTCTTCTATTACACGCTTAACATCCATAGCTTCAAGTCTGAGAAGTTTGAGGCGAGAAAGGGGTGCATTGATGAGGGGAAAGCATGGAAAGAGCGCGGCGACGTAATCGGGTGACAACCAGGGCGGTGGATGCTTTCCGCCTTGTTTATGGTGGGACAAGCTACATCACAATAAATTCTACGGGAGTAAACATACAAGCAACCAACAACTTAAAAAGAAAGCTGCACAAGGCATTAAAGTGGTGACTACAGACAGCATGCACACAATAACCCAGAGGATCATAGTTTATATCGCCGCGTATTGTTACAGACCACTGTGAAAAGTAGTTATAAAAAAGAGCATCACCAAAATAAGATAGACAACACAGAGAAGAGAAGGATAGAGGCAGAAAGGGAAAATAATGTAAGTACCATATAGCGTTGAAACATGTTTACAAGTCCTAGAAATGCAACCTCTCCCAGAACCCAACCGAAAAAGCAAATAAATTAAACAAGCAAGCCACCAGATGAAGAAACCCTTTCAAATCATACACCCCAGGAAAGATCCGTATTTTGGTGCTACATGTCGTGAGCGGCATAGACAAAACACCATGACAGAAAGTCGTTTCGGCAAATGCAAGACATCGAGGCATGATAGAATACGTCATGTTAATATAATATGAGAAAGTAATCGAGAGAAGGTGCCCGTGAAGGTCTAGGCCATCGCCCGTGGGCTCTGCTGTTGAATGTGCTGCAACAGAGCATCGAAGAGACGACCGATCTGGACAGCATAATTAGCGATAATGCCACCTACTTGGCAGCAGACGAAGGAACTTACCTCAGGCGCAGCCTGAATGAAAGGAAGGCGGAAGAAGGTGTAGCTTCGGTTCTGAAGCAGCTCCTGGAGGGTGATGATCAGTCCCCAGGGATGAGGACGGTGGACAATAAGTCGCTCAAGAAGAACACGGATGATCTGTTGGCGAATGTCGGATTCATCCTGCTCGGAATTATCGGCACCAAAGAGACGGAGGATAGCGAAGCTGAAGAAGTAAGTGTGGCTGTTGGGGTACCTCAGCTGATTGGCCATGGCACTCAGCAGGTAGTACCGTGCTTCCGGACGCAAAGCCTTCGCAAGACTCTCCAATAAAGACGCATGAGCAGAATTCTCGAATGCCGCCCGAGTGTTGCCCTGAGAGTTGTTGGCAGATACAGCATTCTGCCCAATGTAGAGGACGAGCGCATTCAGCAGCACCACGTTGACGTTGATTGGGTCATAGAAGAGACCGGATTCCTTGGTCGGAGGGTTGTAAACTGCATCGCTAATTTGTTGAATAGATGATTCGGGCACAGCGGTGGTCTGGAGCGCGCTGTCAACAACACTCTTTATATTCGCATGGTGCAGCGGGGCAGCGATATCGCCTGCAATTCTTGGAGCCTCCCGCATTTCCTCCAAACGTTCCACCTTGAGACCTTCTCTAAACGGATCCGGAAGTTTGTGGAACGAGGAGGGATAGGCGCTGAGAACAAGATTGCGAAGTTGAGCACAATGAGTAGGAATGACGTTGCAGAATTGGAAATGATTCTCTGCCACAAACTCGGGAAAGTCATGGTGCAAGATGAGCAGGATTCGAAGGACGCCCTTATACAGATCCTTGGCCACATAGGAAATGGTTGCCGGCTTCAGCTGCTCGCCAATGTAAGAAAGGAGAGCCTGCATAATTTCGCAGTAAGGTCCCCAGCCTGCCCGTTCCGGCATGTTCAGCATACCAGACATGAAGAATCTGTGAGAGACGAGAGAAAGCCATCCATAGACGAAAGCAGGGCAGTATTTAGGCTGGAGCGAGAGGAACTTGTTGGCCAGAGCAAACATCATATCCCGGTGCTGATCGCTATGCTGGAGTCCGTTCATGGAGTATTCACAAAGGATACTGGAGAACAACCTGAAGAAAACGCGCTGGTTGAAAGCTTCACCTCGCATAACATAGTGATGATTCAACACAAGCACGAGAAGCGATAGGATCGAGTTGAAGTAAGCAGACTTGCTTGTCTTTGCGGCACCTGCCGACTCTCCTTGGAACTTGACGAGCAAGACAACAAGCTTGCCTAGAGCGTCAATGTAGAGGAATGCTTCATCGAGGCTACCACCGGGGTTTTGCGACTCGTGGTCAAACATTGCTACCGAGATGTCAATGCTCAGACGGAAGAACAAAGCAGAATCTTCTTGATTATCCATAACTTGTCTTTGATGCAAGTCCTTCAAGAACGAATAATAGGTGCGGTCGATTGCGCCAGGAGCCTTGTAGATGCCAATCCATTCACTGAAGATATACTCCATCTGATCTCGTTTGGATCTCGCTTTGTCACTGAGAAGAGGATTGACAACTTCGGGAATGCCGGACTCGCGCAACTTGCGAATAATCTCATTTGCTACTGAAAGGTTGGAGTCTTCTGCAAGCCACTGGCTCATGGCTTCCAAACTGCCGGAGAAGTCAGATCTCAGGGCGGAAGGTTCTTCGCTGAAAAGAACGCGGTCCATCAAGTTAGAGAGAACCTCCAGAGCAGGGATTCTCTTGTCGAGGATAAGCCGCGTCAGGATCATATCGACACGACGAATGTCCAAAAGACCCGCATCAATGAGAGCAACGGTGACTGGAACGTGGAACATATGCTCATCATCGACCTCGGACAGGACTGCCCAGGTGTAACGTGCAACTAGAGTCGACATGTCACACAGCTTCGCAAGTAAATGGACAAGAACCTCAATCTCCAATGTGCTTGGAGTCTGCGCATACAGGCTGGTGCAAATTCGCAGGCATGTCAGTCTGGCCAACTCTTCTCCGTTCGGCGAAGCGAGGATTGTACGGAGTGCTTGGTTGTATTCCTGCAAAACAGTGCTATCTCTGCCAAGATCTTTGACACGCTCCTCCGGAGCATTTCGAGCAGCCTGCTGGAGTTCCGACACGATGGCCTCGACCTTTTCGCGAGGGCTTTGCGCCTCGAGAAAGCCATTAAGCTGGGATTGTGCGCCAACAAGGCCAGGCTGCTGTAAGCGAGCGTCTTGTTGTGCCTGAGGAGTCCTGTGCGGTACAGCAGGTTGTTCAGCAGGGGTAGATAAGTTGGGGATAGGAGAGTATGGTTCTTGAAGGACGTCTGGAAGCTGCCGACCAGAGTCAGTAGAGACATTTTGCACGTGAGCAGCAGCAGGTCCGCGTGCTTGTCGGGCAAATTCCTCGTAGATGGCCAGTTGCTCTTTGTTGAGGCCACCAGCGCCTTGCCGGTAAGGTTCAGGGATAAATAGGCCCCAGCGGTTCATAGAAGGATCAATGAATGGTTCATTGGGGCGGGCAGCCCTGTGGCGGCGACGAGCTTCCAACTGAGGTTCAATGA